TGGTACCGGGGATCGAACTCAGGACCTTGCGCTTTCGAGGCAGGCGCCAGAACCACTGAGCTAAATCCCCAGCCCTAGGCTCAGAATTTTTTACAACTCAATCCACCAGGCAGTATCCTCTGGCTACCTCTCTGCCCAGTTTGTGTTTGCATATTTGGAATTCTTTCCCTCCAAGAATCTTTGTCCTAATATAAAGGAGGAAACAATTTTACTTTATCTTCCATGCTTATATGTAGTCCTAGCTGGCCTTGAACTTGTTATTCTCCTGCCACATGAGTGTAGGAATTACAAATGTGAGCCACCACTTGTGACTTGATTTATATTTTGTCTGCATCTATATAAAGAAAGGCTTAGAGGTAGTTGGGGGTTCACCCTTATCATTATCAGGCTGTGCCACAGGGAAAGTTCTCTAGCCAAACTGGAAGATCTTTCTCAGCTCCACTCAGAGAGATCTTTAGAAAAGGCCCCTTCCTACTGACAGGATGTGAATGACTGCCTTCTGGGACTGAAAAGCCTAGTGGTACAAGAAGTAGGGAGCAGGTGCTTTATGTAGGTAAGTCCAGTACCATATTTCATCTAGTCTGCTGTGTATCACTAAGAAGGGAAACACTGTCCACTCGGGTCCTTGCACTTGCGCAGCAGGTGGCGAAACCACTGAGCTAAATCCTCAGCCCAAAATAGGGTTTTTTTGGTACTGGGGATCGAACTCTGGTCCTTGCGCTTGCGCAGCAGGCGACAAAACCACTGAGCTAAATCCCTGGCCCTTGAGAAATGTTGAAACATGAAACAGATGCATCTTAGAATCAATATGATAGTGTCTTAATTCTTTTTTTTTTTTTTTTTGGAATGGGGGATCGAACTTGGGACCTTGCGCTTGTGAGGCAGGTGGCAAAATCACTGAGCTACATCCCTGGCCCTCCTAATCTTTTTAACAAGGTACATATAAGGGTGAATATGTCCTCACCACTTTTGCAGATTAAGAAAATGGTATTTGAGGGGCCGGGGATGTAGCTCAGTGGCACCACTCCTGCCTTGCAGGCACAAGTTCCTGAATTCGATCCCTGGTACCAAAAAGAATAAGAAAAGAGAAACCGATATTTGGGGAGATGAAATAATTTACTCAAGGCTATGTTGCTGGTAGTAGGCAGGAGTGAGGATGCAACCCAGGGAGGTTTAATGCTAAAACCTACACATGTTCCCAACTCTCATTTTCATTGTCTCCTAATGCAGTTACAGTGAACCTTTTAGAAAGTTCCCATTCTGCAACCCAAAACCCACTTATATCACGAAGTGCTAACACTGTAATTAAACCTGAATACTAAGGTTTTAGTTTAGAAAAAATAACTTATACATTAACATCTTTGGTCTTAAAAACCAAATAACACGCATGCCATAGGTTGCGTACCACCGCCCTAGATCCTTGTGCTCCCCTAGTCATCCATAAAGTGACTGTGGAGCTGGCTGGGCTTGGTAGCACATGCCTGTGTTCCTACCACGTAGGAGGCTGAGGCAGAAGGATTACTGCAAGTTCAAGACCAGCCTGTATTACAGAGCGAGACCCTGTCTCAAAAAAGAGAAAAAGTGATTGTGGAGCCAGAATTGACCTTGGCATTCCCATTCTTCAGAAGTACCTTTAGATAAAGATCCGAGCTCCTTAATGGTGCCTTGCTGGACCCTGCATGTCTCTCTTGAGCTCTGCTCTGTAGCACCACATCAGGGCATTCTTCCATTCCATGCAGTCAGTCTTCTCTCTGACTCCTCCTCAGCCTTTGAAATTCAGTTCAAGTTTTTGTTTGTTTGTTTTTCTTTCAGTACCAGGGATCTGATCAAACTCAAGACCTTGTGCTTTCGAGGCAAGCCCCGGTGCCACTGAGCTAAATCCTGGCCCTTTTGTTTATTTTTTATGTTCAGTATTATTGGCTATCTTACCACTGGTGTTCTTGTAATTGTCTGCAAATCTGGCAGCTTCCTAAGGGCAGAGGCTATGACATACTTATCTTTACTTTCTCATTGCCTAGCCCAGAATCAGACACATTTGTATGTATCTACAAATACAGACTAGGTGAGAAAGTATTGTTGATGATGCAAATGATTCAGCCTGTGTATGCTCTTGGGTATTCAGGAAGGCCTGTGACATGGAAGTGTTTCTGATATACTTCCTGGGAAGGCTGGTTCTATAGGTTGTCTTACAGACTTACAGGACTGTAAAGCTGTCTGAGGGCCAGGGACTCTTCCCCAATACCTGTCATGACATATGTTTCATCCCATAGAACTTCTGTGGTTAAAATCACAAATGCTCACCTCAAGTTGGCTAAAGCAGAAAAGTGAACAAATGGGCATTTTGGGTTATCTCCTGTTGTATGAGAGACTACCCCAAAACTTATGAGCTTAAAGCAAACATTTTTATTATTTGCTCATGGTTCTGCAGTTTGACAGAGCCTACTAGGTTCAGCTCATCTCAGCTCTATGGAGTCTTCTGGGATGGCCTGAGCAGCTTAGGGCTAGCACCTTGCCTATGTCCAGGGCCATGATACTTACTGGGCTCCTTGATCATCTCCATGTGGCCAGCTTGGGCTTCTAAGCATGGTGGTCTCAAGGTAGTTGGACTCCTCACATGGGAAATTAGATTTCTGGATTTTTCCAGAGTGCAAAAGTGGAACTGCTAGATCTTCTTTAGGCTTTAACTTAGAGCTAGAGCAGCAGTGCATCTGTCACATCCTCTTAGTTAAAGCATGTCATTGCACCAATCCCAATTCAAGGCACATACGGTCAGGAGTCCTAGAGAAATGTGGTTCATTGGAGACTGCTGACGTAGCAAAGCAGTGGTCTCTCACATAACCTGTGGACTTTAAGTGTCCAGCACAGCAAGCCCAACAGCTCTCATCAGATCATCAGGACTAGGTATGATTACCTGCACATTCACATACTCTCCACCCACCTTTGCTTTCCATATGTAGGCTTTGCATGAATTCCCTCCAGGCAATGTCATCCCTACCTTCACACCAGCACTATCTGTCACTTAGCTGGGCTATAAAACTTAGTATTTAAAGCCTCCGGCTCTGGAGCCAGATACCTGGACTCTACCAGGCAGCTGTGTAGCTTTGGGCAACTTTTCAAACCTGTGTGCCTTTGTTTCCTCCTCCTTGTGTAAAATGAAAATATCAAAAGTATCTGTCAGAGAAAATTTTGAGAATGGCTGGGTGTTATGCCTCCTGCAGAGTTTGAAGGGCTGATCAAAGGCTCAAGAACATGTCCTGGGCTGGGGAGAATTGGTTCTGACCTTCAAAAGGCAGTGCTTTATGGGATATACCCTAATATGGCTCCAGCTCTCCTGGAATGAACCTCCAGGCCCTGGCTTATGGCACCTACCCCAGCAGACACCCATACAGGTAGCTGTACTGCTGGGACCAAGTCTCACCTTCTACTCTCTTTACCATACTTCTTCTAAATTTCACACAACTCATAGTAGTAATAATTTATCACTGCATGCTGCTATTGTCTGGCAGAACTCACAACCTACATCGCAGTGCTGGGTGTCACAATTGGTCTTCCAGCTCATCACATCTATTGGAGCAATATCATTTGCATGGCTTGAAACTGCACTCACAAACCAGGCATGGTGGCACATGCCTGTAATCCAAGCACTAGGAGCCTGTGGAAGGAGGTTTACTGCAAGTTTGAGGCCAGTACAGAGTGAGTTCAAGGCTAATCTGAACTGTATAGCGGTATCCTGTCTCCAAAACGGGGAGTGGAGAGGGGAGAGAAAGTGAGAAAGTAACTGGACCCACAGCTTCAAATCCCTTTCCTTCCTTCCTTTGCAGTGTAAGGGGTTGAACTCATCCCACCTGCACTTGTCGTGTAATTTTATAGACGTTGGCTTTTATCCCAAGTATCCATGCTACCTTGTCTTAGATGACAGAAGCAGAATGTTTTCAATTAAGTGATGGTTGGCAACAGCTTCTTGTCTGTATCAGCAATTTCTGATGCTTAGTTCTTTCTCATGCGTTAATTAGTCCCTGAACAAATATTGAGCTACTACTCACCAGGTACTGTCCTAGAGGCTGAGGATCCAAGAATGAACTCAACAGTAATTGATGTGCCACTTGCAGCTTTCATGCCCTTGGGCTGGAAGCAGACCAAGGAGATGAACAAATGCCCAGTAGGAATGAGACCTCTGCATTACCTTCCATAGTCTACTTGGTTTTAAGCTCTTATGGCACTTTCACCAATCCAGTCCATGAGCTGCTTATGTAGGCCTGGGCCCGTAGTAGGCCCTGTGTAGCTTCCAAGAACCAGCCATAGCCCTTTCTCTGCAAGGACAGAACATCTATTTTAATATCAAGCGGTCTCACTGGTATGTGGTGAAGTTTTCATCAGAGGAGAGGCCGAAAAGACAGACTTTCTATGAACTTGGATGCAATACAAACATACAGGAGGCCTTTTAGGAAGCAGAAACTTGACAAGGGAGATGAAAGCCCTGAACTGTGGTCAACCACTGTCCTGCTCAGGCTTTAGACAACCAGTCAGAAAAGGAGAGTGTCTCTCTAGTTTTGGCTGCCAGTCAAGTGCAGATGCATGTGATAGGGAGATGTCTGCAGGTGTAGCTGTGTGCTCCTCTTACTAAGCATCTGTGACTCAGAGCTTTTATTGCAAGCCAGTCATAGCCTTTATAAACACATGTGCATGAAAAATGGCAGGCGAATGCTCAGAAGTCCTGTGGGCTCACTATCTTCAGTGACAGAATCCTTTGCCCCCCTGCTGGACTTTTAGTTATCTAATGTTGCTTGAAGAGTCTTCCAGCAGTTCAGACTTTAACTGAAACTATTAGATTGCTCCACTCTTATTCATGGACAGTTTATCTGCAGTCTGTTATTATGTTTTAGGTGCAGCAATTAGAGATGTTACTGGAATAGTCAAAAGAGTTTTAAAATTTCAAGTCTGTTGCTTTTCTCTGGTGATTAAAAACCAAGTTAGACGTATGTGTTTTTCTTCATTTCCAGGCAAGCCAATTTTTTCAGTTGATATTCACCCCGATGGGACCAAGTTCGCAACTGGAGGACAAGGTATGTTTGTGGAATTTGCAAGGGAGAGCATCAGGGTTCTGCCACCTTGCTTTGCTTCTCTTGGTTGTCCATGGTTAGTAAGAGATAACTTACTGCTTTTCTTTTTTTTTTTTTTTTTTTGGTACCGGGGATCAAACTTGGGACCTTGCGCTTGCACAGCAGGCGCCGGAACCACTGAGCTAAATCCCCGGCCCAACTTACTGCTTTTCAATGTGGATGTAACTCTGGCTAATCTGTTATCTGAATGGATTAAAATCAAAGTTTTTAGGGTTGGGGGTTTAGCTCAGTGGCACAGCACCCGCCTGGCAAGCACAAGGTCCTGAGTTCGATCCCTGGTACTAAAAAAGAAAAAAGTTTTTGGTTGTAATATGAGCTTTATAAATATTTTGATACAGACTTATTCTAATTGCTGTTTACTGAGTTAAAATTACAATAAATTTTCATCCCCCATAGAGAGGGTTATTGAGTGTGGAGAGTGACAGATCTCTCTGGATGAAGTCTAACACCAGAGGCAAGAACTCTGTCAGGGTTTTTCTCATCTGAAAAGCAGGAAGGGTGTTAAATTACCATATCATGTAATTATTAGATCCTGTATTTCATTAAAAGGTTCAAAAGTGTACTGTGGGTAACAAAATGAAAATAGGATCCATAGTATTTGTCACTGTTTCGTTCAGCATCCATTGCAATACTGTGGTAACGTGACCATGTTGGGAGAGACACAGCCATTTTTAATGCCAGGACACCAGGACTGTATGTGTAGTGACAGGCAGTAGTATTCCTGTGGACCCAATACCCTACCAGTAGGGCCTCTCTCTGACCAGAGTCCCTGGGCAGCAACTGATAGTGCTTTTGTGAGTATATCCTCAGGCCGGGTGCTGCACAACGGGTTTGTGCTAACGCCTCTGCCCAGATGCTAGGAATAGAGAGGGAAGTAAAGGGATGCTCTGGCAGGAAGGCCTTTCTCTCTTGCATGCTGTACTAGGAGCCTGCAACCTCACTAAGAAAGCTAAATTTAGCTGAGAGGACCAGAGTGTTTGTTCTTTGTCCCAGGGGAAATAGATCTTCTACATTACTTGGGATAGAACAAGGAGAGATGTCTAAAATATATTTTTACATACTAGTCAAGAGGAAATTTTGAGCATTTCATCATCACTTTGGTATGTTCATTTCTATACATTCATTTGTTTTTATTACTTTCATTAGGTATTAGTGCTGGATAGCTTACCCAGAGAAATCATTAATAAAATGCACAGATACTTTTTTTTTTTTGGTACCGGGGATCGAACTCTGGTCCTTGTGCTTGCGCAGCAGGTGGCGAAACCGCTGAGCTAAATCCCCAGCCCACAGATACATTTTTTTAACAAAGGCATGCATCAGCTCATGATTATAGGAATCTTAAATTCCCTCTTTTGGTTGATGTCCCATCCGTAGGTGACTGCAAAGGGCAGATTAAGTAATGAGCCCTTTTTTCTTTGGTGAGGCAGGCAGCACCCTGAAGAGAAACCCTAGTAGGGACTGTGTCTTTTCTTCTTGCTTTCTAGCGTGTACACGCACAGACCTGAAAGAGTCCTGGTATACAACTTTCCATCCTCTTTAGTTTATCAAGGAACCTGAAGGCACGGATAAATTCTAATTTAGTTACTTTTCTTGTTGGTGAGACAAAATACCTAACACCCCAAGTTAAAGGAGGGAAGGTTTATTTCAGCTCACAGTTTTGAGTTTTTAGCTGGCTCCAAGGCAGGGCAGCATGGCAGAGGGGCATCACAGAGGAAAAACAGTTCATGGCACTCAGAAGAGAGCAAAAGCAGCAAGTGACAAGTGTCAAGCAGTGATCTTCTTTGTCCCTTATATTCCACCCAGGATACCCTCCCTTAGTGTGGGTAGTACTCATACCCAGGGTAGGGCAGCCTTAATCCTAGCATCGGCATCATGAATCAATCCCAGCATCACATTCTTTTTTTTTTTTTGGTACCGGTAATCAAACTCGGGATCTTGTGTTTTCAAGGCAGGTGGCAAAACCACTAAGATAAATCCCTGGCCCACATTCTTTTTGTTGGGGGGGGGGTACCGGGGATTGAACTCAAGATCTTGTGCTTGTGAGGCAGGGGGCACCACAGAGCTAAATCTCCGGCTCAGCATCACATTCTTGATCCTCATATCACACACCCTAGATCCAGCCACCTCTGAAAAGCCCCACATATGACCACATGAGGCTTTTGAGGGAACATCCAGATATAAGCCATAACAAGGACCTTCTAAGGGCCCCTGGTAGAGACCCCTGGCCAGACCAGAGCTCAGCCCCGTCCTAATTTCTAGTCCAGAGTTCTTTTCATAAAGTCAGGTGGGCCTTAGCTACTACTAAATCCACTCCTTTAGTTCCCCATGTTTACCTGTTTTTCTTCACCTTTTCTGTAATCTGTATTAGTAATTCAAGTTCAGTCTCCTTAGATCTAGTCTATAATGATTTATGGAAATGAGGACTTCCCATAGTTGATATTACGTATCAGAATGAAATTTCTACTCCTTGCACATTAAGCTATTTCTGCTTCTTTGTTCCAGGGCAGGATTCTGGGAAGGTTGTGATCTGGAATATGTCTCCAGTCCTCCAGGAGGATGACGAGAAGGATGAAAATATTCCCAAGATGCTTTGCCAGATGGACAATCACTTAGGTATTACAGAGTGGCCCTTTGCAGGCTTTGCTTGTTGGCAGAGTGCCCAAGGTTAGCACATGTGTTTGTAATTAGAAAGATAAGTCCCCGTGCGGCGGTAACTCCCCTCGGCCTGCTGTCTGAAGGCACAGATGTTGGCTGCACACCTGGGTGAGTTACTCGGCAGAAGACTCGGCCCGCCCACAGAACCATCTATGGACAGTCTGCAGGTACCTCTGGTGATTTCCTGCTCATGAGTCGTTACTGCCTTATTCCATGGGGCTTTGGGGCCAGCGACCTGGACACAGTAGGGTTTTGGGGAAGGGTATGTAAAAGACAATGAAATGTCTCAGATTGGCACTGTGTCATTCCAAGGCTCTCTCCCAGGACTCTTTGGGCTATTGGACAGTGTCACAGTTTCCTTTCCTGCATAGAACCTTAGTGTCCCACCCTTGAGATGTTCCATTAACAGTTATTGGCCTTTAGATGTTAGTCCCTTTCTCTGCTCTGCGTGTTCTTGTCCTCCCAACATACCTGAAACAACTGGAGCATACCTGGCCACGACTTTGTTGGTGTCCATCATATTTCATGTCTCCCAAAGGCTGAGTTATATATGCTCTTAGAGGCTCTGACTTAGCAGAGGCTCTGGGGGATTTCTGGTAGTCTTAGTTTATAAGTGCAAAATCAATCAAATTGCAGTGCTCATAAGTTCAGAAAATCCAAATTTAAAAGGACTAGCTCTGATAAGTGGGATTGAGTCAGAGTTTTATATTCTACCAAGCTATTCCCCTGAAAGTTTTGGAAAAGGCATCTTAGCCTTCTTACCACAGGCTTTCATCTTGAGAATAATGCCTGCTCAGAAACACATCTCATCAATAGACAGCCCTTTTGAAATAATGAAATTTACCACTTTTCCTGAAAATAAGCCTCCTGTTATCTATTTCATCCAACACTAACAATTCTCAGATTATGCATATTTTTTCCCTCCAGACTGTTCTGATAATTTGTTATAGCACAGGTGGGTTAGTGCTTTGACCGAATTGTTTCTCTGGGGCTGTCACATTAGATGCCTTAAGTAGATTAGACAGATTAGATTTTATAAAACCTTTACATCTTGCCAGACTGTTCATAAATCAAATGGGCATAACTATTGGATTTCATCACCCTATTTTTTTTTTCTTCCCAGCATGTGTGAACTGTGTGCGGTGGTCAAACAGTGGGATGTATTTAGCTTCTGGGGGAGATGACAAACTGATTATGGTGTGGAAGCGGGCTACGTAAGCATCATTTTCCTTTCTTCACATATAACTTTTAGAAGCTTCTTTTCTGGTCTTTATCACAGTCACTTTTCTTACCCTAGTGCTGAAATCCCCAGAGCTCTGGTTTCATAAGTAGCAGGAAGTACACATAAGTCAGAAGGAGATGAGGCCTGACCAGGGAATTGGGAGGCCACTAACCTGCCTGCTAGCATAGTCAGTTGCCCTCTTGCAGTGATACAGGGCTTCTTCCCCTCCAAAAAAAGGTATAGTCTCTTCTGGTGTTGACCTGGTAGCTTCATTTGTTTTGTTCTTCATATGAAACTTCACATGACATTTCCAAGTACAAACTGGTTAAAAGTTGAGGTGCTCTCATGCGTTTAGGGGTGGGATCCAGAGTCCATCTTCTTTGCCACTTATCTCATTTTGTAGCAGCCTCAACCTGTGGCAGCCCCTGCTCTGCAACCCAAATGAGCTAACCATCACCTAGAACACTACATTTTTCTTTATCCCTTAAGTAAAGGTTTTTTGAGTTTAGGCCTTTGCCCCACAGTAAACTCTCCAGGTAACTGGGCCAGTCAGGCTAGGGCACCATATCCAGCATTCAGCCAGAATGGTCCTAAGCCCTTGGCTTTAAGACACTGTATCATCTCCTTAGGCCCAGTTAGTTGTTTCATGAGCTCTTTATGTGGGTTGCTGCAGAGTTTTACAAAAGCAAAAGGTATTCAGAGAGGCTCTGAGCATGGTGTGTCCATCTTCATGTGCCAGCTCATCTTGAAGGAGTTAGTACCTTCAGCTTTCTTGGTTTCTTGAGGGGTAAAATAGGGCCACTTAATTCACTATGAGGGGACTTTAAAATGCTGTAGATTTTTTAGCGAGGCATGATAGTACATGCCAGTAGTCCCATTTACTCAGGAAACAGGCAAAAGACTCTTAAGCTCAAGAGTTCAAGACACCCTGGGAAAAATAGTGAGAGCCTTGCCAAACCATCCCCCCAAAACCTGTTGATTTTGCAATTTTAAATAGCTAATATAAATAATACATTTAGTAATAATTTTGAAAATAAAAAAATTGTAAAAGAAAAAATGTTTTACAATCCCACTACCTAAACAAAACTAGGGTCAATATTTTGGTATATTTTAGTGTATATCCCTCTGCTTTATTCTGTACATAGATGATATCCATGATACATGTATTTTTTCCTTTGTATAAGTTGGTATCATACTGTATATGATGTTCTGTGGCCTGCTTCTTTCACTTAATCTATTATGAACATTTTCCTGTGCAAGATTTGTAAAGTCTCTACAGTATTTCATTAAATACATGCATAGCAAAATATATAATCAGCTTTTTGTGTACAACAGCCTAATACTTTGCACCATTATCTGTTGTTCTATTGTTCTGTGTGCCATGATGAGCTGTGCTGCAGGGAGCATCTCTGTATAGTCCCTGAAGCATACTATGAGTGCCTTTCTGATTCCTCTTTTACACAGGTACATTGGACCCAGCACTGTGTTTGGATCCAGTGGTAAGCTTGCCAATGTGGAGCAGTGGCGTTGTGTCTCTATCCTCCGAAGTCACTCAGGTGGTGAGTGGGGCTGCCTGTTGGGGTGGATGGGTCCCTGGCAGCTACTTCAGATCACCAGCATCACCTCTGTGTCCCTTGTGCAACCCTTTGTTCCTTGAAGCAGTATTTGTGATGTCCCTCTCTATCACCATTGCTTACCTGCTTGTCCTTCAGTCTGTGCAGTCATTGTCTCTGCTGCCTGCCTTCAGCAGCAGTCAGCCCCCTGCCGACTCCTTCCCTCATTGATATATGTTTATATCTTTTTTTTTTCCAATACTGGGAATCGAACTCAGGACCTTGGGTTTGCAAGGCAGGTGCAGCACCCCTGAGCTAAATCTCCGGCCCCTTGTTTGTATCTTTAATGTAGAACTCTCCACATTATGTCTTATCCTGCTGAACAGAATCAGTACTTTCATTAGTGAATCACTAAGTCTATAAGCATACTTTATTTATTCCCAAGTAACCAGCCCACCTATATCCAATGAAAAAGTTTCTCAATGTGACCTTGAATATGTTTGCAAAATGTTTTAAATAGATGTAGTTTAGAAAGAGGCACACCTTACAGATTTCGATTGAAGAGACAGAGGACTAGTCCATGGCTGTCTCAACTTCGTATTCTTTATGTACCAGTTACCTGGATACTGAAGTAATACAATTTAGGTTTTTCTCAGGAAACTGATAGTCCAGCCCAGAAAGAAACTGATGGGTTTTCCAGGCAGGACAGGAGAAGGGAAAAGGGTTTTGTGTGAATGTTGAATTGGAGGCATTTTGCCAACGCTGGCTGTATCTTTATAGACAAGGCAGAGCAATAGCACAAAGTTAGACTGGCTAAGTGTGGAGGGCCAGGTATAGAAGGCTCATATGTCCTATTAGTGAGAATGTTCCTCGTTATAAAAGAGACAAGGGGCTATTAAAGCTTTGAAGCACAAGAGAGGTTGTTCTGACAGCTCTCTATAAAGTAGATGGTTTCATTGGTTCAGATGAAAGCTGTCAAGGCCGGAACTAGACCTGTGATCACTGGAATAGAGAGGAAGAAGAGTAGGAGACTGATTGGAAAACTGCTTAGATCAGGGAACAGGGAGGGATGATGTAGATTCTTGGCTGGGTGCCTTCATAACCAGAGGTGTCCTACTGAGGCCATATGGACAACAGGCCTATGAGAATGTGCCAGGTTTGAGGGAGTGAGGAAGAAAACATCAAGAAACCATTAGAATTGAGCCTAGAGCTCTAAGGGAAGATGGGGCTAGAGTGAGTAGTTTGGGAGGCATTGGATATAATTCATTAGCAGTATATGATCGGCAAATATTCTGTAGACAGTTTAAAAGTAAACAAACTGGGGCCAGGTATTTAGCTCAGTGGTTTTGCTGCCTGCTGTGCAAGCACAAGGACCCGAGTTTGATCCCCGGTACCAAAAAAAAAAAAAAAAAAAAACAAACTTATCTCTTGGTAAGCCAAGTTTAGTCTATGTTTATGAATCCTGACACAGTCTTGTGATATTATTTGATAACAATAAAAATCTATAATTTGCCTTTATTTTATAGCAACTCAATGATAGAGGCTAGTTAGGCCTCTCTGAAACTTGGCACATATGTCTAAGAAGTGTTTAAGTGTTAGTTGGGGCCTCAAATAAGGACTATTACGGGGGCCCTAACCTGAGTCTGGTGTCAAGCCGTAACCTCAGCATCTCTTGTGCCCCACCACCCCATTGGTTTCCTTTACCAGGCAGGTAGGGTTGGCTACCTTCAGCTGAGGTTCCTAGTACTCCTTATTCACTAGTCCTGGTAGCAGGTATGGGCAGAACCATTCAAGAAGAAAAACAGAGTGAAAAACAGATAAATAAGAAAGCCCTGAATTTGAAAAGCAAAGTGTGAAAAGTATATAGTTGGCATATTTAATTGGAGTGTAAGAAGAAAAAACAGACAAAATTAGAAGTGAAGGTCCAGAAAAATATTTAACCTAGACAGAAAAAAAACATTATTTATACATTAAGCTAAAAAATAAAAATAGGTTCTCAAAACTAATACCATAGGGCAGTGCTGGTAAACCTGTGGTACATGTGCCGCAGCCAGCTGTTTGTTATCATTGAAAGTTCTAAAAGGTTTACCATCACTGTCAAAAGGTAAGGAAAACCTGAACAAAGTAATAACTAATGCAGAACTTGAAAGCTGTCTTCACAGATGGTTCCTGGCCCTAAATTACTTATTGATGTATTATGTAAAGCTTTATTTTTGGTTTTTTGTTTTGTTTTGTTTTTGTTTTTTGGGGATTTTTTGGTACCAGGGATCGAACTTGGGACCTTGGGCTTGCAAGGCAGGCACCGGAACCACTGAGCTAAATCCCCTGCCCTATTATGTAAAGCTTTTTAAGAAAAAAATTATACAAAATATAGAAATATTTGTCAAAAGAAGATACAACCCAGGATTTCCAGAATCTCATAAAAAATAACAATGAAAAGATATATTAACATGAATAAAATTAGAAAAATCTAACAATACTAGTGAATGATAATATTTGAAAATAATAACTCACTGTGATTATGATTCATAATGGAAGAATTTTATATATAAGGAAACAATATAATTTACTAGGAAGTTAAATGAGAAAAGAATTTATTGTTCTGGAATTTCTGTAGTACAATTAAATAGGAATCTGAAGAAAGTAGACATACTAGGGCCTGCGATTTAGCTCAGTGGTTTCTCTGCCTGCTGCGCAAGTGCAAGGACCCGAGTTCGATCCCCAGTACCAAAAAAAAAAA